GAAAATAAATAGAAATTACGGTAACGTTTAGTTTCAGTAAAATCACGGATGAACTGAACTTTGCCAATGTTGAATATTCTTAATTTCTGGAAAACGGAAGAAGAAGAAAAAAAATGGAAAATAAATAGAAATCGGTAACATTTAATCTTTATAGGCCAGATACAGGCATTAATTAAAATTCGATAGTATATTTAGTAATTTGATCAGTATCAAAATATATAATCTCTCTTTCTGCGAGAAAGAACGTTATTGAGAATTATTAGTTAATGAGAAGTTATAATAGAATTGGCACTCGAAAGACGTATTATACCGATGAGACTCAAGAGATTAGAGGCGAAGATATTTTACACATTTTACACGAAACAATTTGAAACGCTCGGCTTCGCGCGACTTGATGTGAAAACGCTCTTGGTATTTTCGCGATTCTGTTAGCTTCCTGGTGTTGCGATTTCTAACAAGAGGAATCCTACGTCCCTAGAGAGAGGTCACTTGGACGATGACTTGTAACCGGGCTGCAAAAGAGTATTCTTAGACGATGGGTGTGCGCTTAGAGTGTTTAGATGCTTCGATAGTGATTTCAGATTGTCCGAAGTTCTCGCAGAAATATTCTAGATTAATTATCCTTTGAAACAGAGATTTCAATTGCAATATTATTAAGTTGGCAGTAATAACATTGATCGTTAAACGTTATTAAACGCTCGAATGCGAAACTTGCGAAACTTGTGTTGATTTAAAAGAGAGAAGAGAATTTACACTGAAAAAGTCCCTGCTGATTATTCATATTATTAAATAAAATAAAAATTGTAAGACGCCCCCGTGAATTTTGTCATTACTATTTAAATTAATCCGATGTCCAGGAACATATTGTATAATAATGTACATAATTTTAGATTTTTCAAGTACAAGGCACGATCCATCCATGATGGTCTAATAAAACACTATTATTATAGGAAATAAATCTTATTATAACAAAGAGAAAATAAAAAGGGATTCAGATAATAGCCTGACTCACCATTCCGTGGCAAAGACTGACAGTAACAGCAGAATATGGATCACCGTCTACCGTCCCACTGTAGAAACATCCGAGTTCATGGCGTGGATATTCCCTTCTGCTAGTATCCTCAGTCATGTGAGTAATCTACGTAAACAGTGAAAGAAGAAAATGTAGATATAACACGGTTGATTGAAAATTGCAAAAGAATTTCAGAGTGAGTGCCAGAGATTTTACACACGAGGGAAGTAGATATACATTCATTTAAAAAAAAATTAATAAAAGTTTACGCAATTTCTTTTTTAAAACGCATCGTCAAAATCACATTCCGGTCGCAAAAGAACTGTTCGAGCAATATTATTATACAGTAAAATATCGAAACGTACAAAAATTAAAATCTTAAAAAATACTTTATTTTGCGTATTCGAATTCATTTGCTCTAATAAATCATCCTTCGTAAACACCGTATATTTCTCGTCAAAATCTCCCTAGTTTAGTTAGTGCTTTCAAATAACGTCCTATTCGAATGATTTCCCTGTAACTTCTAATCAGCCAGATATCTAATACCTTCGACAAATAACTGGACGACGACGTTGCACTCGAGGAACGACTTTTAACATGCCTTGTTTCACGGAAGGAAGATTCTGCAAGCATCGATGATATCGCGTGCATTAGCATAGTATAATAACACGCGAGACGAGATAATTTTTACTGATAATTCGCGGCAAGGCAATAAAAGCACGAAAATCGGCGTGGTTGACGGTTTGATAAATTCATCGAAACTCGTGAAATAAAACTCGCTGCAAATTAATGCTGATGGACATTCAGGAGATGTTGGTCTCACCGTGATATTCGGTGATACGAAACTGGTGTCGTGAGCCAAACGTAAACGAAACCGTCGTCCAAAGGCGGTGAACTCGTACTGGGGGTGAGGATCCCATACCTCGGCTGTAGCATGCCGGAAGTGGCCGCTATGGTGTCGCTTCGCTGTTGAGTATTTGTCCGCTGTAATCAAACAAACGTAACAAAGGCATCAGAATATTTTGTTACCACGTATCTCTCGATCACGCTCGTAGATAGTCATATTATAACGTGGTTCGATTTATAACGATTTATTTCACGATATAATATGTATCACCTCAATG